AGGGTTTTGCAAAGTTGTGTGTGCATGTTGTATGTGTGTGTAGATATATATTCACGTATAAAGGTGTTCTTGTGTATGCATATATATATATATATGTATATACATATATATATATATTATATATATATGTACAATGTATATCTGTACACATGCATTAAATGTACATATGTATGTAGGTATGTACATATGTATGCATGTATGTACATGCATGTGTATATGTATATATGTAATATGTATATATGTATATGTATATATGCATATGTATATGTATATGTATATGTATATGTATGTGCGTATGTATGTCTGTATGTATGTCTGTATGTATGTATGTATGTATGTATGTATGTATGTAGGTATGTGTGCATGTATATGCATGTGCATATGTTTGCGTAACTGCTTGTATATATGCACATGCATATGAAAATGAATCTGCACATGCCTCTGTATCTGTATGTATATAAGTATGCAGGTGCATATGTGTATGTATATGTATGTGCTTTTGTACCTGTCTCTGTACTTGTAAATGTATATGTATATGTGTCGGCACATTGTATGTATGTGTACATATATGCATGCGTGTGTGTGTGTATGTGTTCGTATATCTACATATGTAGTGTATATACATATACATACACGCACGGGCAAGTTCACTTCGCAGTTAAAGCCACGTGCGTGAATGTGTGGCCATACGCAGCTCTACTAATGCCTGAAAGCATATGTCTCAAGTAAAGTCAGAGGATCGGGCATCCCTGGAAGACGGTGCAGATATGTGCCCCTTCCGTAAACTCACATGCCAGCATGCAAGCATGGATACATGCATGCATGCTTTCGTGCTGCTGATGCAAACAGTGCGGTATATGTGACCATGCATGGGTGCACATACACATTCTACACAGAGGTATGCCTCCAAATGTATCAATGTACGTGCATGTGTATGCATCCGTGTATACACCTCCATATTAAACATAGACACACCGCTACTCTGCGGAATCGCCTAGGCTCTAGACAAAGGCATCAGGCGGGGAGCGTCTTTGGCAGGCCCATAAACTCTGCGAGGCAAACAGTGGAGAGTCCACTGCTCTGGCCCTGGGCGAGGATCCCTAACACGTCTTCGGACGAGCAAAGGGCTCAGATCCGTTCAGGGACTAGGGCTTGGAGTTGTAGGGTAGGAGGGTTTGGGTTTATTGGGGCCTGGGCTTCGGGTGCATGGCTGGGGCTAGCCGTACTATATGCCAGGGTGCCCCTTGCACCACGTCCACCATCATGCCGGAGCTTACGAGCATGCTCTGAAGGCGGGTGCTTAGCTTCCCGAAGCTGTTGGTCTGCTTGACCTGAGTCAGCAAACAGCACCCGCCGGAGAGGCATCGGAACGGCCTGCCCGGGGCCCCTGCAGCAGAAAGTGCTGTGCCTGCAACTGTCGAGAAAGACATCAGCCTGGGATGCAACAAAAACAAGCCGCCCCTTCTAGCTGGATCTGGCGGTCAACTTGCTTCGCATCGGGACGCACGCGCATCTCGCCAAGAGGCTGGTTTAAAAGCACCGTGGAAGGCTTCCCCTCCTCGCTAGCCTCCGGACAATTTCGTCAAAAGTGCTGGGGGGCTGGGGATAGGGCGGCACGCCAGGTTCAATCTGCAGCTGGGGGCTGGTCCTGCATGACACCCGAGATAGCCAGCACAAAGATCACAACATCTTTTACAATGCAGAAGAACCTCAGATATGGCTTTCGAAAGGTGCAGAAGGCCCTCCCTACTCAATATCGAACCCCAATTCACCCTCAGCCCTGAGGCCTTTCACGATACTCAGAGAACCTCTAGCCTATCGGACCGTCGCAACACAGTTCCATCTGAACTGAGTGGCACTTGCCAAGCCCAGGTGGACCTTGTGAGGCGTGCAGGAGGCGGACAGCTGCAGTGGCACCACAAGCATGACATCGAATAAAGCAACATAACATACAGCAATTTATGACGCAGCCGTAGCCCCAGCCCTTCTGAAACCAACCACCACCATCGCTGAACCGCAAGCGCAGCGACAGTCGAAGCCAGGACGACGACGACGACGACGACGACGACGACGACGACGACGACGACAGTGACGAGGATTAGGACGAGGACGAGCCGCAGCTATGCCAGACCACAGATAGCAACAGAAGTTGTTTAAGGCGCATCAATCGAGAAAGGCTGAGTCCGGAGCCTGGTGGTGGGGCAAAGCGTGCATGACAGCACAGTGTTGTCGACAGGCCCGTGGCTGTCCAGGCAGTTCGTGCAGCCCAAGCCATAGTAGCCCTCGGCGCACATCTTTGTCTCAGCCTGCACAATGACAATTGAAGCTGATTTGGTGCATAGAAGCCCACACTGTCACGAAATGTTGGGAAGCCTCCGGCAAGTCTCCACCGGGGCAGGCAAACTTATTCGGACAATGGTAGTGCCGGCTCAGGTTGCTCTGCGAAACCATGTAGCCTGCAAGGACGGACAAGACGCAGGGGAGAGCTTGGAGTTCCTCTGCCTGCCTCTTTGCATCACCACCTTGTCGGATTTGCACAACCGGGCTCCACCCGGGCATTTCACACAGGCAGCATTCGGCAGAGTCTTGTTGAAAGTGTCGATCTGGATCCTGAACTGGCCGTGGCACATGGCACAAACGGCACAGAGCAGAGCATTGCGCTGGCCTCCCTGCGCCGCAGGTTTTGCAACCAACTTCACCACTGACAAGTGCACCTGCAAGGACAAGAATGTCTGCGGCAAAGGTGTCCGCTCTCTCTGGGCTCTCCGTACATGGAAGGAAACAGATGTGGCAAAATTGTTTCCTTGCCTCACCGCAGGGTTTTGCTTTGCTTTTTTGTTTCTTGTGTATCGCTGGGGCTCGAGGCTAGTGTACTGATCGTTTGCCTTCCCCCGGCGCCTTCGGCACGATCTTCTCTCCGCCCTCGGCCCAGTTTGCAACTCAAGATGGGAACCTGGGGCTTCACCGAGCTGAACTGGCACTGACCAGCACCGGTACAGTTCGCTTCCTTGACGATCCTTGGAGACAACATGAGTACTGCCGATCCGAGAAGCAATACCAAATTGCAACAAAGGCTTCAGAATCCGGAAGAGCCAAGTATCAACGTGTCAGCTGATACCGTGACTGCCTGGGCTCCGGTTTCCACGATGTCCACGCGCCCAAGCGTTAGTGCGCCAGCAACGGAAAAGGGAGTTGAGGATGAGTCCCGGCCTGTCAGCTGCCGACAGTGGCGACATAGCAAAAGCAGAAATGGCAACGACAGCCGGTGAACCATATCATAATATACTATACTATACTATACTGTACTATACTGTACTATACTATACTATACTGTACTATACTAACACAAACCTCATCATAATGATCATCGTCATCATCATCGTGATCACAATCATCATCACGGCCATTACCAGGATCGTCACCATCAAGAAAAGAGTATCATCACCATCATCATCATGAGCAACAGCATCGTTAGAAGCATCACAGTTCTGTTGCGGCCCAAGTATTGTTACGATGACTGCTGCTGCTGCTACTACTACTACTACTACTACTACTACTACTCCTACTCCTACTCCTACTCCTACTCCTACTCCTACTGCTACTGCTACTGCTGTTGCTAGTGCTACTGCAGCTGCCACTACTATTGCTACTGCTGCTGCTGCCGCTGCAGCTGCTGCAGCTACGACTACTACTACTACTACTACTACTACTCCTCCTGCTGCTGCTGCTGCTGCTGCTGCTGCTGCTGCTGCTGCTGCTACTACTACTACTTCTTCTTCTTCTTCTACTACTGACGAGGACGGCGGTGGTTAGGATAAAGGCTCCTTCCCCCACCCTCACAACAAGAACTAGAGATACTACAATATAGTTACAATACCATATCATAATATACTATACTATACTGTACTGTACTATACTATACTATACTGTACTATACTAGACTGTACCATACTATACTATACTATACCATACTATACTATACCATACTGTACTGTACTGTACTATACTGAGCTATGCTATACTATACCATACTGTACTATACTGTTGCTATACTATACTATATTCTACTAGATTATTATAGTATACTATATTATGCCAAACTATACAAAACCCAGCATTGACTGGGAGTCGAGGCTCAATGGGACAAGTAGACGGGGCTGGAGAAGCTAGAGTTCCCGCCCACTTGGAGAGCACCAGAGCGACTCCCAGCCGTGCAGTTCACGAAAGAAAGACGACTCGACGTCTCTGAGGCTGAGCTCCTTAGGTCACAGATTCTCAGAATATAGTATTTTTATAAAGTATAAAGCATGCGATCGTATATTATAGTACGTTATGGTATGCATCAAGCCGTTCAATTCTTCCGTGGTGAACAGAGGCCGACCATGCCAAGGCTCTCGTTGAATCCCCGGTACTGCACAAAGACAGCCCCACCTTCTCGTTTTGCACCTCAGAACTCATGTCGTGAGTCGCAAGTTTAGGGTTTAGGGTTTAGGGTTTAGGGTTTAGGGGCAATCTACACTGGCACAATGCAAGACCACAACTCAACTGCCCTTGGTGAGAGCCGCCGGGCGGCGACACTGCCTGAACGACATGTTGCCCTTCAACTGCACTCCTTCGTAGTGCACATAGATGCCACCACCGCTCATTTCAGACGAACAGTTGTCCTCAGAAAGCTTGGACTTAGGCCTGCAACAAGTTTCGAGCTTTAGTGCTTGGGGGCTTGGGGCTCAGAGTTTCGGCCAACCCTCAAACATGCCGGGTTGCAAAGCTTCTTTGGCCTCCAGTCATCTTTAAGCCTCTTTTGTCGATCTTGATGCCACCACCCTTCTTTTGGCAAGAGCAGTCCTGAAACCTTCGGAAATCAGGGAATCACAGTTAATTGCGAGATTCCCAGGAGGAAGATGACGCAACTCTTGTTGTGCTCTCTGGTACTACTAGCACAACCACCTTCACATACCTCCGCCACCACTGCCAGCACGGCAACTTGAACATCTCCACCGTTTCTACTTCTGTTGCCGCCCAGTGCTACTGCTTCTGCTTCTGCTACTGCTGCTACTACCAACAACAACACCACCACTGCGACTGCCTGGCACTATTCCTGAAGACTTTCCACTGCTCGAAACAGCTGGCACCGCGGCAGATGAAGTACGTGCCTCATCGAGCCAGCAATTTGACGAAGTCCTTTCCTTGCATGGAGCCCACCCCCGTCGTCGCCAGAGTGGCAGGACGTTGCAGTGAGATTGCCCGAGAGCTCGAAGTCATCATTCACATGCAAGGCGCCACCGTGAGAGACTTCTGTAGAGCATTTCTCGAAAAGCATCGAGCCTCAGGCTGAAGCAAAGGCCTGAGATCTCCTGCCCGCAAGACCCATAAGCAACCCTGAGCACCCGGAGCCCGCCTTGAAGCTTTGCGCGCCCGGCGACGGCTGCACCGCCGCCACGGCCAGCAGCCGAGCAGTTACGGAAGTACATAGCCGCCCTGCCAGACTGCAGCAATCTGATGGGCGATGGTTCAAAGGCCTGGTTGCGCACCAAGAACGAATTTGCTGTCTCGTTCTTCGAGTTCTTCAATCGACGCCATATTCCCGCCCAGAACGGTTTACTGGGTTTCGCTGCCAGTAGCCCCCCACCATGGAACTTGGTGCTACAGTCTTCGAACCTCATCAAGCCGGCCTTCTGCAACAGAGTCCCGCCAACGAACAATCCGCCGCCGCCATATTTATACTCATCTTCCTTTCTCAACGCTAGTTCCTTTGTCAATTCTCCAAAGGCCACGGCCGCGGTGTCATTGTCGACGGAACTGCAATTTACAAAGGAGACTGAACCAGCCAGCTGCGTGTAGTTTTTCTCGACATAAACGGCACCCCCTGAGTTTTTCGAGCTGCAGTTTGCAAAGGTCAGCGAGCCACTGTGTCGCTCCACGGATTTGCCCACATACATCGCGCCACCAGCGTCTGAGCTGTACGAGTCGACGATCGAAAGCGAACCCCCCAGCTGCACGTAGCTTTCCTTGACATAGATGGCACCCCCTGACTCTCCCGAGCTGCAGTTTACAAAGGCCAGCGAGCCACTGTGTTGCTCCACGGATTTGTGCACATACATCGCGCCACCTTCGTATGAGGTGTACGAGTCAACGATCAAAAGCGACCCCCCCAGCTGACCGTAGCTTTCCTTGACGTAGATGGCACCCCCTGGCTTTCCCGAGCTGCAGTTCGTAACGATGAGCGAACCACTGTGTTGCTCCACCGATCCCTTCACATGCACGGCACCGCCCTCATCACTGCTGTAAGAGTCAACGATCTGCACGTTGCCACGAATCTGCAGGTCTTGCGTAACGTAAATGGATCCTTTGCCACTGCACCTGGATAAGGGAGCTACTAAATCCACACCCCGACCCAGCTAATGAATTCAAGTTGGTTAAGCACCCCGGCCTGGCTATCGCGAGCTGGTCTGTGGCAATGGTCACGTTACCGACGAATTTTAAGCAAGGATCACGAAGTGCTGCATGTGCTGCCACCGTGAACTGCAGATTGCCTTCCTGCCGAACAGCTTACTACGTATCGAAGGCACTGATACTAACTGCTCATGGCTTGCAGCTACACGTTGGGCCGTCAAGGCAGACGCTGCAAACTCTACACGCGGTCCAGGGTAACATCCGCAGCATTTCTAGGATCCGGATTGACGAAGAGCAAGCTAGCATTTTCGGTCAACTCAATCCTCAGATGTGCATCAATAAGAAACCCAGTGCACAGAATTGGAAAATCGTCGTCCTCTGCACGGGCATAAATGATCAGCACTGCACCATGCGTGCGGACCCGTGGAGCTAAGAGGCACCGCCTGACTGCTTGCCCGCAGCGTGCAGCTCCGCGCGACGTGGATTCGTGTTTTCTTCGGCACTTCGTAGACTCCATCGAGGTCCAGGATGCCGTCACAAGTCTCAGGGAACCTGAACTCAAAGCAACACCTCCTTGGTATGAGGGCAGGCAACTGTCTCGGGTCCCGGCTCCAGGGTCTCCTTCTCAATGTAGCGAGTGCGCTCTGCCAGCCGGAGGGGCAGCAAAGCGAGCAGAAAGCCTCAACAGGTGCTCGCACATGCTCGCACCACTGCTTCGGGGCGGAACCCGGACAAGGGCAACGAGTAAAGATCAGCCGTGGGACCTAAGACCATAAAGTCATGGATCCACGGGTTCGCAGAAGACGTCTAGCTTGAGCCGTCTGCATGACATGACATGCCGGCCGAACCATCACTCATGAAGCCCTGTGTCGGAACTTGCTAGAGTACCCCTAACATGCCGCAAATGCAGCTTCGTCGCCCCACATGCGACATGCCAATAACAGTTTTGGGGCCGCTGCCCAGAACCGAGCTTTCAGCTACTGGCTGTATCGTGATGTCTGACCAGGCGGATGTAGGGTCCCCCTTTTTGTCCGGCACACGGCCTTAGGGAAACCGGGCAGGGAAAGGGGTTTCCTGGCCCTGACCCGATCGCAGAGAAGTTCTGCTACTGCCCCTCAGAGAGTGAGCGCATAGGCCACGTATTCCTCCTAGGCTGCTGGAAAAGGGGAAGAGCCAGACATGTCGCGGAGCCAATTGTGACGATGATTTTATGCGGCGATCAACTATTATACTATGTTATATTATGTTATATTATGTTATATTATATTATATTATATTATATTATATTATATTATATTATATTATATTATATTATATTATATTATATTATATGTTATATTATATATT